GGAATGCCTGGACACGCAGTGTGGTGTCGGGCTCCCATCACTGCAGTGGGAATGAGGTTTCTGTAATTGCTCGTTCACAGCTCTTTTCCACGTTTTTTACATTGTTTCCTTTGACACTAAATCCCCTTTAGACAAATGATAGAAAACATCTGTGAGAAAAGAACTAAAAGGTAAAAAAATCCCTATTCTACAATTTATATTAAAATCCTTATTCTAGAATCCCTATTCCTAGAACTTTGCCCATTACCAGAATAATTTATTTTTAGCAGATACTTATCTAAGTCTTTTGCTGTGTTTTTGTATGACCTTGCAACTCCGGATTTTGGTCAAGATCAGAAATTCCTGGCTACTGAAAGCCGTAAAAAGAGCTGAGCTTTCCACCTCAAGACCATAAATTTTTTTCGGACTGTTCTGATCGATTTTGGCAAAGAATCTGAGCAGAAATCATTTCAAGATCCTCGCTTGTCAGCTGCCTTTCCTATTAGTTATGAAGAAAAGTGTGTTCGTTTATGCTGATGTGTTTTACAACACAACTGCAAGAGCACTGTAAGGGATGTTTCACTCGTAACAAGCCCACATTAATTTTATTTATGTTTTTTTCCTTACAAATTACACAGCCTTGATATGCTGTTTTTATAAGAGGTGCAAAAAGTCGTGTGCACAGAGTTATTTCCAATTGCATTAATCAAAATTCCAGCCCTAAGTTTGGACTACAAGAGTTTAAAGATGTTTTGATTAAAAATTACCTTCTTGTGTATTCACCCAATTATTCTGACCCAGCAACATGAACAGTAAATTGGCATTAATAACAAAATCAGGCATGTTATTGCAATCATGCTGCTACTGTTGTTCAAATACAGAACTTGCTTCTCAGAGACATTGGTGTGACTTCAGAGGAAATGGGATCAACCAGCCTCGGTGTGACTGAACAGGATTTGCTTCCCAATTCAAGCCACATTTCATCTCTGAAAAGCTAGGCTAACAGCATTTCTTATGTCATTACTGAGTCTACAAGGAGAGCAAAATGCACGACTGGTCATCCAAAGCATCAAAAAGAGTAAGAGGTTAAGAGAATGGAAGTGTCTTTTAAAATCCTTCTGACCGAAACGCAGTTTTAAGTGAATGAGTAGTCTGTTTGCCAGGATGTTTATTCCCTCTCCTCAATTACAGCTGCCAGGTCCTTTCAGAAAACACCTCCTGTAACACCACTCTGGTTGTGTTTTTGTAGCTGCGATGGGGCAGGGGTTTTATCAGGCTGACACAG